TTTTTTTTTTTTTTTGGGGGGGGGGCAGGGGTTATTTTCTTTGTTTTGATTTTTTTTGGGGGGTTTTTGGTTGAGATTGTTTTTTTTTTTGAGGGGGGGAGGGGGGAATTTTTTGAGGGGGGAGGGGTTTGGGAGGATTTTTTTCTTTTTCTTTTTTTTTAGGATTGATTGAGGTCTATTTTTTTCATTTGTGTTTTTTTTTCTTCTCTCTCCCTTTTTTTTTCTTTTTCTTCTTTTCTGTTTATTTATTTATCTTTATCAGGTTTGTCTATTTCTTCATTGGTAAAATATTCCTTTTCCTTTTTGTTCCGTTTCTATAATCGTCTGTCTTTATCGCTTTCCTTCTTTCCATGGGTTTTCTCCAATTCTTCTTATTTCCTTGTTCGTTTCCTCTTCCCTTGTATAATTATCGTCGTTATTGTTTTTATTTCTTAATTCTTTCTTATTCTTAGTTTCAGCGCTGTAGGCAAGTAATTCAAACTATAAGTATATCATTATTTTTCCTTAATTTGCGTAGAAGGGGATAGGGAGAGAGAGAAGAGGGAGGAGGGGGAGGGGGGGGTGAGAGGTAAGGTAAGGGTAAGGGGGGGGGGAGACCTTTTCCTCTCTCTTTACCCCGTCATGAAGAGACGGGTGGCGCTGACGGCGTGGACGAAGGAGGAGGAAGGAGGAGAAAGGATAAACAGAGGGAGAAAGAAATACTCGAGAAAAGAACGGCGATATTTTTTTTCTGTTTTTCTCTCGCTATCTTCTTCACTCGCACAAGCAGTTTGTTTATTTTTATTTTTTTCTCTTTTCCTTTTCTAAAAATTATTCTATTCTCGTTCTGTTCTAGATTATCCGTCTGCTTTTCTCTCTAACCAGTCTTTCTCTCTCTCTCTCGCTGTGTCTGTTTTCAAACATGTATTTGACTTTTCCTCTTTCCCTCTTTTCTCTCTTTCTTATCTGTCGTGTTCCTCTCGCTTCCTTCTTCCTTCTCTCTCTCTCTCCGCTCCCTTCCTCTCAGAGCAGCGCCGACCTCACGCCGCGTTCGAACCGCCTCGTCGGCCGCGGGCAGCAGGGGCGCAGGACACGCGATAAAATGGAGGGGAAGCGAGCAGGTGTCATAGTCCTTTGGGGGCGGGGGCAGGGGGGGGGAAGGGCACCGGGGGGGAGGGTAAGGGGTATGGGGTGGGTATGGGACGGCTGGGGGGGGAGGGAAGGTCGGGCGAAGGTATGACGGGCAGGGAAGGGGCAGGAAAGGGGGAGGTATGGGCTGCCTCCGGGCTCGCTTGGGGCGGCGGGCAGCGCGGCGGGCGTGCGTGCGTGCGGGCGTGGGCGCGGCGTGCGGGCGGCGGCGTGGGTGCCGCGGCGGTGCGCGAGGGGCGTGGCGCGCCCGGGGCAGGCGGGCGGGCGGGCGGCCGTTGGCGGGGGAGCTCCCGAGGGCCCAGCCGACGCCGCCGTGGCAGTGGGCGCGAGGGGCAGCCACGCAGGAGGGCGCACACACACACGCACTGTCTTGTCACTTGCGCTGCACCCGACGCGGCGCTGCGGGTGTTATGGGGCTAGTTTATGTAGCCGTTACGTTGTTACATAGACGCGCGTGTAACACTCACGGCAAAGTCCACCAGACTGACATGTAATTCTTGACAAGGCTTAATACTTCCTTTACAACAGGTACAGCAATAAACTCCGCCTCCGCGATAAACAGGGCCAATCGCCGCGCCGACTCCTCCCCGTGGATACACAAATCGATATATGATTGGCTGAATTCGGCCGCGCTCCGCCCCTTTGGGTACTTCTCTCGTCAATCAACTTTATGACTAGTTCTGACTCCGCCCACGTAGTCAGTCTTTGTTGCATCAGAGCGGCGACTCTGCCTCGCTTCCTCATCAATTAAGATGCAACATAGATGCCTCGTTGACCATCACCCACGTCTCCCTTAGCACCGCCAAACCTCCCCCACCCCCACCACCTCAAAGCAAACTTCCTCTCCGCCCCAACCCCCCATACAAAGCCCGCCCAAACGAGGTTCCTCCGACCCCCGGCAGCTGCACCTCCCCCCCCTCCTCCTCCTCCCCCAATCCGGAGCGGCGGGCGGCGGGGGGGCGTGGCCTGAGCCCTGTTAAAAGCCCTGGCGAGTCTCGTGCATCCAAGGGAACCTCATCGTCTTCTTTTCATTAAAACGTAACACGGGAGCCGCTTCTTTCCAGCGTTGTCCATTTACGGGCGTGCGCATCCAGCCTCCACAGCCTCGGGAGATGATGGTTACCTGCCTTTATATGCCAGCGTCGTACTTTGCATATATAATGAGACTCCTGCGAACTGGTAGTCTTTACTCGGCACTTTCCATAAGTCACCATAATGTTATCTTGCTTGGTTGCTCCTCATCTTTTCCTTTCGCCTGGGACCTTGTTTATTTACGGTTTCTGTTCTACCTTTTCGGGGTTTGCTGTTGGTTTCGTTTTTTTTCAGAGGTTTTATTATTTTTTTTTTTTCGGAATTTGTTCTTTTTTTTATT